TGTAATTAGTTTATTGATGAATACGTGATTTGAAAATATTTCTGTTTGGTAGAAATGTGTGTTACTACAGCTACACTTACTGAGGCATACGATACTCAGATACCTGTGATTTTTTGAATTTCTACATGCAGTAAAAAAACGAGAATCCCCTCGAAGGAAATCGTAACGCGCGCTTCAGCGGATTCAGTACTTGTCAGTGTTGGTTGATGACTTCTTGATCTCATTTAGGTTTTGGTGTATCTCTCAATGCAACACTCATACTTGTCACTTGACTTACTTAGGCACAGTGACAGAAAGCAGAACACTTTGCAGTGTAAACTTGAGGCATAATATTTTCAGTAAAAACTGATCAGTTAGTTAAAAAAAGACATTCAATAGTAAGTTAAATTTTGGAGAAATCTCAGAGGCAAGGAAACAAAATTTAACTGGATCAATTTCTACGTTTGGCTTACCTCTGTTGTATCTATGTTCACTTGAAGTCCCTCCAATCTTTGATGCTTCTTCTGCCAACTTATTGCTTTTCACTTGCATATCTTCCAGTTTGTGGGAAATCAGACCTATATTTCCGTTAATCTTCTGTTAAGCATCCACTAGGTGACCAGGATGAAAAAAAACCTTACTACTCCTCTTCCGAACCACGTTGGATAGTGCTCATGAAGATGGCTCATCAAGTAGTTCTACGTGCTTGACTATCCCCACCACATGAATAGGATAAATGTATAAATGCATGACTAGATTCGGCAGGTTTTATTTCCAACTCTATCAGAATTATACGAATAGTGAATTTTGCACATAGTATTGCTCTGAAAAAAGTTATAGGTATAACATTTGTCAGTTTTGATGCCATTAGTACGGTAGCTGCATCTTCGAATTACAGTTATATATATATATATATGGCTTCCTCTACCCTGTTCGTAAACACTTCTCGCTATCTGTCTTCATTTTAGAATCGTTTACAAACTTTCCATGGTGTGCTGTGGTGATGGATAATTACTATCTGTGTATTGTTCAAATACTGACTGTTGCTTGTTAATATATTTCTTACATGAATTGAAATATAATTCCGCCAAATACAAATCCCTGAATTCATCCCTCTCTGTGTTGAATTGGTTGAATTCTTGTAATTTGGTCATCTCGAAATGTTAATACTACTATTACAAAATTTACAATATTTTGGCATCGCGAGCAGGATCTAAATAACCTTGGAAAGTTTCCTATAAATGGTTCACCGCGGGAAATTGCTGATTATCTTGAATGCTTCGATGCATGGTGCATGCCAGAGAATGTTTGAGATGACAAAATTCCAGCTCATGCCATTACTTCTATTGGGCTAGATGCGTATAGCCTAGTGAAGACTCTGTCGTTTCCAGATAAACCAATTTCTCTGCCATATGACAAGCTCCGTGAACTTCTGATAGATCACTTCCATATAACTACTTTTGAGACACGAGAGAGGGCTCAATTCAACAAACTGGTTCGTGCTGCCAACCAGAAGATTAGAGACTTCATTCTTCAACTTGAAATACAAGCTTGAAAGTGCAAGTTTGGAGATCAGCTGTACACTCAACTACGTGATCGTCTAATTGCTGGAATCAATATTCCTAAGTTAGAGAAAGAGTTAATTCAGATTCCTTCGTGTACCTTTCAAACTGCCAAAGATTTATGTATTACATATGAAGATGTCAACAGTGAATACTGTGCTCCCACCACGTCAGTATCTGATGTCATGCTGTCCAAAGTCGAAAATATAAGTGTTCATGGAAAGAAATCCGAACTGTCGTCCACATGTAGTGGAATGCAGCGAGAGATCGAAAACATCGAACCGTGTTTTTCCTGTGAAAAGATTCATGTACGAAGCGATGGCCGTTTTCGGGGTGCTATTGTGTCATAAATGTGGTAAAGTTGGACACATCAAGTCAGTTTGTAGAAGTTCGAATACTTATGTTACTCAGAATTCTTATAATTCTCCCAATCTGTCTAGTAAAATGGAGTCAATGTGTCTTTCAACTTTTCAAAATACTCAACCTCATCCAATGAAAACCTTCACTACAAGTTCACCAACTCAAGCGTCAACTGTATCACGTGTTTTCGAAAATGAGGTAGCCGAGTTACAATGTGAACTGTCGAAAACACGAAAAAAGGTGAGTGAAATGGATGTTGGCTGGTTGTCCATTCGTCAACAGCTGACTGAGATGAGAGAGGAACTGATTAAAATGGAGGAATTTCTGCATATGCTGCATAGATTGCGTCAGTTGAATGCAGAGCATACAAGTACCCGTGAAAGTCCTGCTAAACTATTCAAATCTCGAATTCTCAGAAAGCATCTGATGTCCACAACTTCTGATGTACATTATTACAGAGGGAATGACTATAGACCTTCTGTTGGAATCATACTACAAAAAATGGGAAATCGACTGGTGAAGATATTAGACATCAGAGATCACTCGGTTCGTAACAGACACCTGGACAAAGTGACAATAAATGAAGTAGGTCGTTCCGATTATAATCCTAATGATTCCGCTACTAATTCTGATTTTGTAGATAATTCAGAAATAAGTCGAGATGAAAGTGATGAAAATAATATCACAGAATCAGTTAGAAGGTCTCAGCTAGTTGCAAGCAAACCGAGACATCATTATAAATACGCAAGGAGATATTTGACGTGTGGCGGATGTGGTGATTGACAATTTCTATCTGTGTATTGTTCAAATACTGACTGTTGCTTGTTAATATATTTCTTATATGAATTGAATTGAATAATAATTCTGCCAAATACAAATTCCTGAATTCCGCCCTCTCTGTGTTTTGGTTGAATTCTTGTAATTCGGTCATCTCGAAATACTAATACTTCTATTGCATGTGCATGTGTAATGTTGACGTTAGGCGTAGAGTGTTGGGCAAAGAGGGAAAATCAATCGACGGGCTAAAAGTTACATAGACTAAGATGGCTAGGTCACGTGCTGCGCATGCCTAACCACCGCCTCTCCCGACGGGCATTGCTAGCTGATATAGGTTCAGGTTGGAAAAGAGCCAGTGGTGGCCAAACAAAAACATGGCCTCATCAATCCATGAAATCCTTGGCAGTTAAACTGAGTTGGTCAGGTAGGGAGATGCAGACTCCCGGGTTGGGGGCCTCGGGACTCTAGGAATCAATGGCTGGAGACAATAATTGACATGGCTCAAAATCGTTGTCAATGGCCAGCGCAGATGTATTCAGTCTCTGTAATCTTCCATATTCCTTTCCACCATTACCCATTCTGTTTCGCTCTTATACTTGTCAAACTCTATTGATTCTCTTCACTCATCTTCTTGTCTACCTCTGTGTGCTATTTGGAAGGTGGCAACTCGAACTGGTGCACTTCGGTGCGAAGTTCTATGTTGATTCCAGACAGACAGCATGTGCATCGCAATGAGACTTGTTCCTTATTTTCCCTAGGTTTTCTATCACAATATCGGTCGCACATATCTTCCTAGTTCAAAATATCAGATTACCAATGAGATTTCATTTCTATATGAGAGTAAGTATCATTCTTGAATGAATTTATTGACGAATGCATGACTTCCTACGGAAAGTACCCTGTCTAATGCAACCATTAGTCCTTCATATTCCATGGACGTAAAACATGGTAAACTATGGTGTTTCTCTACTTTATTTATGAAACTGGTTTGCATGCGAGCCACACTGGACGTTTTAAGAAGGCCCTTAGCACTGATGTTATTGTTTTGTGGGATGAACGTATCTACACTAGAGTTTATTAATTACAAACATTTTAGTGAAGTGTTTTCTAATTTCGCAATAAATGTGTCGGCTAAAAGTGGGCCCAAAGGTGACCATATATGTAAAATACACTTTCCCTTAAGGTCTTCAATATGAATTTGACTGTGATACATCTTGATAGTAAATTTCAACCTAAGGATATTTGTAGAAATACACACACACACACACACAGTCAGCAGCTTCTACTGAACACTTACCAAATCAAGGTATGATATTTCCTATATGACGCATTTTATTCACTCATAAAAGTCGATGAAGACTTATTCTCGTCAACAAAAACTGATTGACAGGTGATTTTTATGCAACCCTATAAGGTGTTAGCAATACCACTTTTTAAAAAAATCCAATAATTTTCAAAAGAATGGATACTCAACAAAGAATACTCTTTTCGATAACTTCATGATCAGGCTCTACAGTTATATATCCATCCATTATATTGAATGAATGCGTCGGTGGCACAGTGGTTAGGACTCTCGCCGACCATGCACATGGTCCGGGGTTCGAGCCCGCACCGACGCACACCTGATATCTATGGTCGGCCTGCAAAATTAGGGCTACCGATATCTATGCTGAAAATTCCATACTTGTACCAAAAATACAGTGTGGGATTAAGCTGTAAATCAAAAAAAATTAGTGTTATGAACAACAACATTAATGTTGCTGTTTAAATAACATCGAATCAATAATAATATTGATAGAATAAAGTTCAATACCATCAACATAAAATAATAAGCTAAATGTCAGACAGAGAAATTAGGAAAGATAATATTACAAATTCATGAATTTATAGTCTCCACCCACTAAAGGACGATCACGGCAGTAGTTGGGACTGGCTGTACTTGCTTCTTTTGAACACAGAGTACACACTGGTTGTTTTGGGTGAATTGCAATAGCCTCTACTGTTTGGACCATGCGGTGCTTCAATGATGATTTTGGAAATTTATTAGGCACCCGGTAGATGATGATAGAGAAGGATTCTTCCAATAATTTACATTCTGACTATTATTATTATTATATAGCGTATAACCTTATTTTAATCTGGACTAATCACCTTTAGATTAGTATGATAATTTGAGTGATACTTACTGTATGCTGAAAACTAAAATGAATGAGCACAAAACAGAACAGTGTAGATCAACCAATCGGAGGACCCTGAGCAATCTCGAGGTTAAGGTCATTTAACACACAGATACGATAAATAAGCAATTAGCGATATCTTATTGATTTTCTGTATAAATAGCCGGAATCCGTACTCAAGTTACTTTACTTAAATAGAAAATTTATCTCAGAGGCGGTGAAGTGAAGAGAATTACACTATTTTCCAAAAACACCAGAAGAAACACTATTTGTTTATCTGCTGTGACCTTTTTCACTGAGCTGAGTGATTTTTTTTTCTTATAACCAATAGGGGTAGGATTTCACAGTTTGCAAACTCTGTGTATGATAAGCACGTCAAATCTAACACATAGAAGTTAATTTCTGCAACACATATTTCTGGTTATATATGGTCAATAAAAAAGTTTAAAAATAGTTGGGGAGCGACCGACCGACGCTGTGTAGAACATTTTTAATACGGGGAACTTGTTCGCGCACCTTGTTCAGTCTCTCTGATTATTTAACTGAAAACGAGATATGAATGGAATTAATGTGAGTATTCTACGTGCTATCACAACTCGACAAAAACGGTTGACAATAAGAAATAAACAACTTCGTCATTTGACAAACAGTGTAGGATTTCTCGACTGGTTGGTTGTTTTAGACCTACGATCGAATAATTTATCCACACTTCCAATTCTTCTTCCAAGAAATGTGAGTCTTCAATGTGTTTGTTATGTGTTGAACTCTCTGCGTCATTTTTTTTCAGCTGGAAGTTATCAATTTAGGCAATAATGTATTTACAGACATACCTGAGGCTGTATATGAATTAACTCTACTCAAATCAATCAGTATTTACAATAATCGCCTTCAAAGCATTCCAAGCTTACTTTTTGGTAAAGAGTTACATGGAATTAAAAAACAAATTATATAATAATGCTTCAGAGAAATTGGTGCATCTCGAATACATGAATTTCAATCACAATGCTATAGAAATGTTGTGCGATTCAATATCCAAGTATGAGGCGCGAAATACAACTTAACAACTACATTTCATCTTTTTTACAGTCTTGTCAGCTTAAAATATTTATCAATGTCTCACAATGCACTGAAAGCATTACCTGATTCTATTGTGTCCAATGCTGATTCACACTTGGAATACTTAAATTTAGGCTATAATCAAATTTTAATACTGCCGTTCAATATTCATCGACTACAAAGAATGAAGACGCTTATTTTGCACAAAAATTTCTTGTCACGTCTACCCGAGGTAGGTAGGTTATATTGTGTAGCAGCTAACTGACTGACTGGCTGGATTTTAGACATTCGGTTTACTTGAGTCACTGGAAATTCTGGATTTAGCAGGCAATAACTTACAACTATTACCATCCAGTGTAAGTTTGAAATCTATTGGTTTGAAGTGTATGTAACACATTACATACAACAAGGGCTCTTCTTAACACTTCTGCGCATTTCATTTCTTCTCCCGTTTGGTTTATAGTTTGTACAACTGAAATTGAAGGAGTGCTACATAGAAGCCAATCCATTCACAAGAAACGATCTATTCACTTCAATATATCGAGAGGATCCAATGACTTTAAAAGTAAAATATGTGTATACATAATAATATAAATTCATTTATATTATAGGAAATAGCGCTTCGAAAACTTTCATCTCTCAGAATAATCAGGTGGTGATCTCTTTTTCATCCTAAAAAACTATTTCTATCTTTGTTGTCAACCGAAACATTTAATTAATTTAATTTTTTGTTGTAGAATCGGCGAAAGCAATCCTTGGCTAGAAAGTATAATAGGCGTGAAAACATGGCGGTCAGCTGGCTTCTGTGCTCTTTGTAAACAGCCTTTTATAACATTTTGGCTAGAAGGTGTTCACTTTGTCAATCTCATCGAGTTGGTACGTTTCAGTTTTATGGGCTGTTATAACTATTATTATTATTCTTACAAATGTTTGTGAATGACTATCAAACAAAATGTGTCTAATTTATGTTGATACACTGAAATATTGAACAAACTGTGATCTTTTAATTGGTGGATGGTGACTAGCAGTGGAATCCAGGATAGCGCTCATTTCGTCCTATTTGGGACTTGTCTCCCAGCTGGATGTACCCGCATTTCTCAGTGAGTGAGTGATGATGATTCCCCACCGAGGCTCGAACCCAGTGCCCATAGAAGTCAACATATCAACATAGAGAGACATAACACTTCGGTCCAATCAATCTAGAAAATAGATTTAGGCAAATTTTGATTGGCTGTTGGCTAGCTGGCTTCTCATTGGTCGTCTAAAATATAAGTTAAAGCGGTAATCTTTTTATTTTGACACGGAAATTTGCAGTCAGTTTGTTGATTTAGGGCTTACTTTACCATAATATAATGGCGTGTTAATTTTTTTGGTGTGAGTGTAGTGTGATAGTCACACGCGCTATTTGGATGCATTGGTGGTGTTTAAAGTACATTAAGATGTACGAGAATGTCTAGCAAGTGAATATAAATCAACAGTAATTTCGATGCATTTATATTTTAAGTCCAAAATAGGATGTATGCATTTTTGCTTACTAGGTGAATATAATAATTCAACTACAATTTCTAAAAATTTAATGTGTCCTTAATTAGTACATATAGATAAGTGTATGTATCAACTAATCTACATTTTTAAGTTGTCAGTTCATTGACCTGTGGGATTTGTGCATATACTAGATCAGCATAAATCAAGCAAAATTTCCCTTCAAATGGCTGAGAGCAACAGTTTAAAGCATCCTTTGGTTGATTGTTTCGTAATGAAAGCAATTTGGAGTCAGTTATAAATTACACCAATCTATGTCTTATTTACTACGTTTTTCAGCTGAGCATTTCTGATTCATAGCCTATCCTGAATAACGGTGATTAATACGATTTATCACTTAGACCGCAGCACACCACCAGCAGCTTACAACAATTCTAAACTTATTCTAACCTATTCTTCGATAATGCCCGTTTTACGGTAATTGAAGATGAGGAAAACATCCAAAAAACCTTTAAAATTCAATGGAAAAAGGGATTCACGAAAACATATAACCAGCCGACGCAGGAGCCCATCATGACCTAGAAATTGACTATAGCCTCTTTCGATCAATCGACGGGAAAATCTCAAATTCAATTAAACTGTGATCTGTTTATCGTCATATTTTACCTTCAGTTAAATAGAGATAAAGTAAAGTTGTAAGTGCTTGTAAGTGACACAGTGGTAGAATGCTTGCTAGCCAACTATGCAGGTGGCCACTGAACGCACTCCTTCACCTCGCTAACTCACTAATAAGACTGGTGAAGAGAAAAGGTTTGGGCATGAGGCTATCAACACTCAATCCCGTGAAAAAATAAATCCCACTGCTAGTGAAGCTTCAAACCTCTAGCTTGAAGCCCTCCCTATGTGTTCCACTGGGAACGTAAGAGAATAGAAAAAATATTTGTAAAATGCTACACTGTTGGTCAACAAGATGAACAACTGAGAAACTGAATCCTGATTTTTGTCCAGTTTTTCCCCCTTGATGTGCTTAAACAAAGCGACAAAAAAAAGTAAAGTGAGCAGCTGTCGTTGTTTTCTTGCTTTGTTCGAAATTTCACTGGTCAGCTGGTCATTGACTACTTTGATTGCTTTAAATTGTGAAATGTCTCCTCTGTGTGTGTGTGTGTCTGTGTGAGTTGACTTACTCTATTTCCGCACTGAATACCTTCACAATCAGCCTCTTACTCTCTTCACTAGCTAGCTCATTTACGCACACATTTATAAGTAACTCTCACACTGTGCTGTGTTAAAGTATCGAATTAAATTGTTGAATAAAGGTCAGTGCATTTTGTGATGTTCATTGTTCCCTTTTGATTGCACATTTAGACAGAGATTGTAGGATAGGGTCGTGAAAATATAATATTAATTTTTAATCGAACAAACCTTCACGATTAATATTGCGATGTCATTTCAATGCTGATATTATGATTGAGAAACTATTTTCAATTCGTTTAGAATTATTATTATTATTATACCCAGACTTCTTGTAAATTGAGAAACAGAATTCTTCACATCACTGAAAGTATTTTTATTCTTATAGTGGATGCTTCAAACTTTGAACTGTTACTAAATCCTAAACCGTTTTTTTTTTTAATTATATTCTTTCTCTTTTCATTAGATGAAATGCAAGAACCTACTACTATTGGGTAAGAAAGGTTCAGAAATATTATATCCTCTGAGAAATGTATTCTGCAGTTATCAGTGTTTGAAAGCAACTGATAATTGTTATGGACTGGCTATCGCCTAACCGATGATCAATAAAAATACTGTTAGAAACAGCATTGAAGTACTTTCTTTCATATATGGTTATATTAGAATGTTTCATGGAATCCTAAATACACACTCAAAGACTCTTACGTAACACTTCCACTTGTGTTTATCCAAACACTCTATTAAGAATTATCTACTTTTTTTTCTTGCGAAATAGTGTGCATACTTATCTACACTCGAGAGTATTGACTTGAAACATCCTCCAGTTTACTCAGTACACATACTGTAACTATTCAGCTTACTCTTTATATTAGTTCTCTTCTTTCAATCATTATAATAATTATAGATTATTACGCCATTCATGTTTTGTATTATTATTTATCATTATTATATCCGTTTATCCCTAGAGGAACATAGGGCTTCAGCTGCCCATCTCCATTGCCTTCTGTTTTCTGCCAACCCTCTTCACTCCGCTCCACGCGTCTGCCCACATGCTTTCATCTCCTCCTCTTCACATGACATCCTCCAAGTCACCCTCACCCTTCCACTGACGACCAACTCGCTACTCGCTTCCCTTTCAGCCGGGTTCCACTCGACCAATGGCTTGTCTAGTGATGTCACTCACTTGATGGTTTCTTTTCTCAGATTTTGGCCAGCCAATCCATCTCCATCCATCTTCCTGACTATTTGTTTCACAATCGGTTCCTGCTGTGTTGGTTGGTTGGTTGGTTTTGTCAATGACACAGATCCCTCCCTGTTTCTGATGTTTTCTGGCCAGCCAGCTGGCCATCTGATCTTGAGCGGAGTATTGAGCGAAGACAACTAGCTGTTGATGAAGGTGTGAAGTTTGTTTGAGATGTTGTGTGTGACGCTCAGTGCAAGTCTCTGATCCATCCGTATAGTGAGTAGCACTGACTGACTTCACATTGGAGTTGGAAAAAATCCGGATGTTATTTTTGATTCTGGGTGGTGATGTTGACCTCCTACACACAGACTTGACGAGAGTAATGAAAGCTTGTCGTGCTTTTCCGCTACTCGCTGCTTTGATATCCTCGTCAGTTGGATTCGCCTGTAGTTGAAACGATGCTTCCCAGATCAGTAGGTGGGTGGGTTGGTTGGTGAAGGAGGTTGTTTCTCTCAGGTTCCTCCCATTTATACCGGCTGGCTGATTGTTGTCTGTTCTTGTTGCTGTGGCTGTTGTTGTTGGTGTTGGCTAGGAATCTTCATCGCCTACATCTGTTGTATCCATGTTCACTTGAAGTCCCTCCAATCTTTGATGCTTCTTCTGCCAACTTGTTTCTTTTCACTTGCATATCTTCCAGTTTGTGGGAAATCAGACATATATCATCGCGGGCGAAATCCAGATCCTCCAAGTTTTTTTGTGGGTTCATGTTTTGTACTTTAATGTAATTAGTTTATTGATGAATACGTGATTTGAAAATATTTCTGTTTGGTAGAAATGTGTGTTACTACAGCTACACTTACTGAGACATACGATACTCAGATACCTGTGATTTTTTGAATTTCTACATGCAGTAAAAAAACGAGAATCCCCTCGAAGGAAATCGTAACGCGCGCTTCAGCGGATTCAGTACTTGTCAGTGTTGGTTGATGACTTCTTGATCTCATTTAGGTTTTGGTGTATCTCTCAATGCAACACTCATACTTGTCACTTGACTTACTTAGGCACAGTGACAGAAAGCAGAACACTTTGCAGTGTAAACTTGAGGCATAATATTTTCAGTAAAAACTGATCAGTTAGTTAAAAAAAGACATTCAATAGTAAGTTAAATTTTGGAGAAATTTCAGTGGCAAGGAAACAAAATTTAACTGGAACGATTTTTACGTTTGTCTTGATAAAATGATTCTTAGTTTTTTTGTGTAGTTGTAACAACAGAAGACAAGAGCCGGAAACAGATCCTCTTATTACGGAAATCAACACACATTTATATATATTTCCTGTACATTATTATAGCTTGTGCAAGTAGACAGACTCAGGCTCCTGATTGGTTGTTTCGGGTAACCATCGAAAAGTGGAGCCATCTATATGGAAATCATATTTGCCCACGTTAAGTGTGCTGTGATTGGTTGTTGAATCAGCCTTGTTCATATTTTCTCACGGACAATATTAGTGACCTAGACATTGATGTAGATTAGTGTCTACCAATTGGCTAGCAGCCTGCTCTCACCGCATAGTGATCGAAGTCATCGAGGGACAACCACATAACACAAATAAAAATAATCTTATTTACTGGTCATCAGAATGCTGCATATTTCTCTCAAATCCATCTCGACAGCGTATATTTTTTTATTCTCGAAGAGTTAGTCACCAAGACCTAGGGTATGTAGGGAAGAATACACTGAGAACTAACCTAAGCAAATACATTCATTACTACACTGATACAACGACTGGATGGAAAGTTTTACAAATTGAGGTGTAAAGTTTCTAACACAAGATGCAACCGCCTTTTAAAAAGCTCTTCATCCAAATAGTTCTAATAAGTCATGTGATTTGTAAAACATTCACACCTGTTGCTTTGGATGGTTGGCTCTCGGTATAGTCTGTTTAGTTTGCAGTGGGATATTTACCATTTATTTTTCTCTTAAATTTTCATTGGACACTAATCAGTAACTAGTTTAATGTGTCTAGTCCTATCTTTGGTGCAGACTGAAGTCTGTCAGTGAAGTTTACAGTATGGCCAGCATACCAGTAAGTGTCTCACCGTCACGGTGCAGTGTGAATTGTGGTAACGTCTCTGACTGCAGCATTGGATGACGTGGGTACGAATCTCATAAGGGACATGAGTTCCTTCAAGATGGCAGGTGCTGCTGACTGGTGACTGCCAACTACCACGAAATCTTGTTCCAAGGCTTCCTGTGGCCAACTGCTCCCAAACATCCATTTTCCTGTTAATATATATATATATATATAACTGTATATGGAGTATGCATTTGAGACATTCTAATGAATTTATTAAATTTCGCTTTACTAACATTTGTTGCTTGTTTCATATTCATATCGGGAAATGAATATTTCCAAATTACTATTTGACTGCTGTTTAACATATCCTTTATTGCGTCGGTGGGACAGTGGTAGAATGCTTGCTAGCTGATTACGCACGTGGTTCGGGTATCGATTTGCCACCCCATGCACTCCTTTACCTCGGTAATCCAGTAATACAAGACTGATATTAAGAGGGAAGATTGGGCGTGAGGCTAGCAAGTGAATCCCATAATAGGAAATAAACGCCACTGTTAGTGAAAGTTCGAGCTTCTAGCTTGAAGCCTTATGTTCCACTAGGAACGTAATGGAAGGAATAAAACAAAATAATAACATAACCAACCCTTAATGGCGTAGGTGAAATTTTCACACCCTTTAAATGTATCACGTTTCTTTGATAAATTAATTTCATGATCATGATGAAAATACAGCAGTAAAATTGTCTTTTCTATAGAGGAGAAGAATAAACAACAACAACAACAACAACAACAACTCACATTTTGTGGCTTTATGAAGGTGATTTCTATATAGTGCGTAAAAAGATTTATATGAGGTTAAGTGTTTTCTCATTATTAGCTATCAACTCAATGTTGAACACTTATTTCATTCGATTAGGGAAGAGAATGTTAGCCATCTGAGATCTGGGAATCGCCATGTTGCTGTTGTGTTTGTTTGTTTGTTTTTACTGCAACATATTAATTTCCTTCACGAGGGGGGAATTTCAAATAACGGGTTATGCAGAAATATATATGTGTCTAGACAATTCAACAGTTGAAGTAAAACGATGGATTCTAAAGGTATAGCAGCAATCATTGAAGAGGAATTTCAATAATGATGCTCTTTCTACAGCGCATTATTCTAGTTTCATGAACAGTCCTCATCCAAGCATGAATCAATGAAAACAAACAAGACAAAAGGCTCTTTTCGGTGAATTCAGTTTTCTTTAGCTGTACAATTTGTATACAGTTTTTCATGAAAAAAGGAAGACAACCAAAGTGATGAGTTGTCATAATCATAGTGTTGCTAAAATTAATTCATACACAGGAGCAGGAGTTGCATAGCCACAGCCTGTCCTGCAGCTAAGCTCGTTCCCGTTTATCGAACAACTTGCTCTCCTTCAGTGCAATCAAAAATCGATAGATATCCTTCTCATGTTAATCACTCCAACTGTATTTACAAATTTACAAGTATCTGCGGGAGCAGTTACATCGGAAGGACAGAAAGAAGAAGGGCATATCTACGATTTTCTGAACATGTACCAGAAAGCTTATGTCTACAGCTGGGAACAAATGCTTTAAAGAGTGCCATCCATCGCCAGGGACCTCTCCTCGACACGGCTCGGTCATGAGGTGGACGTCGAAAAGTCGTTCAAAATTACCAATAGGCAGGCAAAAGAGCTCAATTCTGCTTAAGCTTGCTGAAGCCATTTCCATCAAGCGCCTGAAACCTGATTTATGCGTCCAGAAAGAAGCGGTTATGAGTGTTTGTTTGCCCTGACTGGTAACTGGATAATTTCACCTCTCTTTCTTCCGAATGAAACGAAATGCTAAAAGTTTCCATTGTGTATGATTATTATTGTTGTTCGGAATAGTGTTTAATATTGCATATATAGTGTATATGTATACATTTTTAGTGTATGAGTACATTGATCGGTTGATTTTGTTTAAACTAAACTCTGTGCAGCAAGTATGTTAAAGTTGTTGTAGTAGATATATATTTAATAATGTCTTTGCCATGTAAGCAGCTGACGAGGAGGCAATGAAATAAACACTGATGGTACCATTTTATTCAGCTAAAACTGTATTTTTTGCTTTGTTGAAATTCATTAAGGGGAATAAATGTATGGAAAGCATTAGAGTTCCATAATAAGATAAGATAAAGGTTTAATAAATGAGTTCTAATCAGGATGGCGTATATAGAAACGAAGGAAAATGTCACAGTTTACGTAAGAATTCAGGAGAAATACAAGAGCTAGCTATAAGGGGGTGTTAGAAAACGGACAAAGAAAATTAGATTGGTAGAAAAAAAACATGGTTGTTTTCCATGAAGGTAGAACTGTTTGTGTATTATTTTCTTTCATTCACGGACTCCAATTTTGTTTATCTGAATGTGTCCAGAGTTTCAGCGATGGAAAGGAGACGAAGACGGTAATGATTCTGGCAAGTGGTTCTTCACTTTGTTATATATATATATATATAGTCTCCTTTTACAGATGAATAAATACACAGATAAAATATTAAAAATTAAAAAGCCCGCATAAATTGAAGCTAATAGAAAAATAATATATGTAATTATAAAGCCGTTCATATAATAAATCGTTTAATTACAAATTATAAATCAGGTTTATAAGCTCTTTT